TGGGGTTCAGGGTCAGGAGGCCGTTCATGAGCGTCACCTTCTTCTTCTGCTTCGACTTCGCTCGGTGCGGCTTCGGCGGCAGCTGCGACATTGACGTCAACATCACCTGCGGTTAGCACACCTTTGAAGATTTCGGTGATTGCTTTGGCCTCTGGATCATCATGAACCAATGACTTGGAACTCCCGGCACGAATGTACGGAATGTCACCGTTCACGAACAAAGATATCCTCTTGCCCTGCGGGTTGATCATGAATGGCTCCCTTCCGGGTGGCCACACAAACCCGTAATCGAAGTTCATGCATCGTTTGCCTATGGAAAGCACCGACGGTGTGTCATCCAACACATAAGCGTTGATCGGTTCCTCGAACGACTCGGTCTGGAAGTTCGACACAAGATCGGTATCGGTGATTCCATTTGCAGTCTGGAACGATATGGGCTCTGTCACGAGTGTCTCGAGACTATGCTTCTCGATCTTCTTTTGAGATATGAGGTCATGGCCACATCCAGTGTCCATGAGAAACTTGATCTTCTTCTTGATGATGACTGGTTGAACCATGCATTTGAACACACCCTGATTGATGATCCGCTTGCTGTGCGCAGCATCGAGTTCACGTTCAACGATGGAATCCTCACCGTCGTAGAAGGAAACCTCTTCCACCCGAGACGTTCCTGGGATCCGTACGAATGAAACTCGATCTCCGCATTGATCATCCTCGTCGTCAACCATGTCTCTCATGATCTGTGCCTTCAATCTCGCTTTGTGCTTGGCGAATTCCAAATTCACGGCGCGATCCTCATCGTTGACAATTGCTTCCACGTCGACGTACTTCACCTTCCGGTCCCTGTCCTTCTTCGACTTTCTAGGGCACGAAGAGGTGAACTTCACGTCGTCAGCAAACGTCACGTTGCGTTTGACATCTTTTCGGGTCGACGTAGTCGGTCCCGATGATTCGTCGTCGGTTGAACAAAAGGCTTGTTGTTGGCAAGTGGTGGTTTGTTTTTGGGCAACTGGTGGTTGGTGTTTTGCTGCAGTTTGTATGCATTTCCTGACAAGTTGAGAAAAGAATGCCTTTGGTTTGCATACAATGGTAGATTTTATTTGACCAGGTGCTCCAAAGGAAAAGCATAGAAAAGCACTTTGTGTTCCAAAAACTATCCATAAAACAACTTTACAATTTTGTTGGAATGCCAGTGGACCACATGCTAGGAAAAGGGTGTGCCAGGAAAATCAAAACCAAAAAGAAATGTCATACACAACTAGGACCTGAAGTGTGTTCATAAAATCATTCAGCATCCTGGGCCGCCGTGGTCCCTTGTCAGGTCAGTGAACTGTACATGCACTACACACACACATATCATATATATATATATATACACACACACATAATATGTATATATGTATATATATATATACATACACACAACAAGAGTAAGTACTGCTGGGGGGGGGTTGAATAAATCGGTTTGCTCAACTTAAAACCCACCCTAAGCCTTAAAACCTAAACCCTGAGCCTTAGGCCTGGCAGCACCTTAAAGCCCACCCTTATACCTCCTGGCCTGAACCCTAAACCCCACCCCAAGCCTTAAAACCTAAAGCAGAGCCGAGTCCGAGGGTTTTTTGGGTCCTCTAGGTGCTAAAAACCAAAGGATTCTTAGGTTTAGGGTTTGGGTTCAGGGGTTTGGTTTGCAAGGGCTCTTCTTCGGTATTTTAAACCCCACAATCTCACCTTAAAGCCCACCCCTAAGCCCTAAACCCTAAATTTAAACCCACAGCCTTGGGCTTAATGGTAGCCAGGCCTCAACCCACAATCTCAGCCCTAAGCCCCAAACCCCCACCTAAAACCTCACCCTAATCCCTAAATTTCAAGCCATGCCCTAGACCCTAAGCCCTAAGCCCCTAACCCGACCCGAAACCGCTGCATGAGGACTGGACAGCAGATCTTTGGAGCTGGTTTTGGGGGTGTTCTAGGTGCCCCCAAACCCCGAATTAACTGGTTTTGGGTGTGTTTTAGGTGCCCCCAAACCCCGAACTTAACAGACGCACCCTTCCGTAAAGTCCCGAATTGGCGCTGCAAAGCAGCCAGACGCCACAACACGGGCGCTGAACAAGCAGCCCAAGAATGGCGCTGAAAAGCAGCCAGAAAACGGGCGCTGAACAAGCAGCCCAAGAATGGCGCTGAAAAGCAGCCACAAAACGGGCGCTGAACAAGCAGCCCAAGAATGGCACTGAAAAGCAGCCACGGGGTGTCTCAAGGTTAATTAAGATATAGAGGCTTAAGCTTCAAGGTTTCCACCCCCCCCCCCTACCCCCTCCACCCACCCTCCACCCCCCCACCCCACCCCCCCGCCCCAACGCGGTTTGGAATGAGTTGTTTTTTCTGGACAAAACCCAACACCCCCTCCGCCGCTCACCTGGAAGGTCGGGTTTTGCCCCCCCCACACCCCGAAACCCGCACCCCCCAGCACCCTCCACCCCCCCTCCACCCCCCACCCCCCCCAACCCCCCACCCGCAGCAGTCCGGTTTGGAATCAGTTGTGTGGTTTCGTCGACAAAACAACTCATGATCCCTCCCCTCACCCCACCCCACCCCAACCACCAACCCCACCCCACCCCCCACTCCACACCACCCAGCCTCGCAAGGCTGTGCTGCTGGTGGCGATGTCTGGCTTGGCCTGCGCAAGGTTTGCACAAGGTGGAGAGTGGCGCTGAAAAAGCAGCCCAAGAAACGGCGCCTGAGCAAGCAGCCGAGAAAATGGCGCTGAAAAAGCACCCCAACCACCAACCCCACCCCACCCCCCACTCCCCCCACTCCACACCACCCAGCCTCGCAAGGCTGTGCTGCTGGTGGCGATGTCTGGCTTGGTGCGCAAGGCCGGGCAGGCCAAGGGTTTGCACGGGGTGGAGAGTGGCGCTGAAAAAGCAGCCCAAGAAACGGCGCTGAGCAAGCAGCCGAGAAAAAGGCGCTGAAAAAGCAGCCAAAGATACGGCGCTAAAGAAGCAGCCGAGAGAAGGGAAAGGAGGGGGGAAGGGGGGGGGGCTTGCCTCCTGGTCTGAGTCGGGCTTTTTAGTGTTTCTGATAGGTGCTTGGCAGGGAGCTGACATGATTCTCATAGATTTCTGCCAGGGCTTTGAGAGGGTCCTGATAGGATTTGGAATGGTTAAGATAGGGTTCTGCAAGGGTTCGACAGGCAACTAACATTGGTTCTGATGGTGGTTGCACTAGCATCGGTTATGATAGGGTTCTGCTAAGGTTGTGATAGCGTCCTGATTGGTTCTGACAGGGTTCTGCTAGGGTTGTGATAGGGTTCGGATAGGATACTAATATTGGTTCCGATAGGCCTCTGCTAAGATTCAGATAGTGTTCTGATAGGGTCTTAATATTAGTTCGCATATCAAGACCAGCAGACCACACTAGCCTCGAGACCCGCCACACAACCGTAACACCCAAAGCCCTCAACCCTGACCCAAGCACACAAAAACTGTGACAGCTCATCACCACAAGCCTAACTAACTTTCCGGCAAGGCTCACAGTGCACTGCCCGGGCTCCCAGAGCATTCATTTGTCACAGCCTTTCAAGCCCAAGCGGCGCTGAACAAGCAGCTGCTAGCTGGCGCTGAAGAAGCAGCCGCAAATGCTGTTGCATTGTATGTTTGTATGTATGTTTGTATGTATGTATGTATGTATGTATGTATGTATGTATGTATGTGTAATGTGTGTACGTGTAATATGTGTATGTGTAATGTGTGTATGTATGTATGTATGCATGTGTGTATGCTGAGGGGCATTCAACTGGGGGATAGCGAACACTGCATGATATCGAAGCACTCACAGTTGCCCGGCCATTTACTTCGGAATGTTTAAACTTATCAGGTTCACGGGCTCGGGGTCAGGGCAAAAGCCGGTGGTGTTGAGACTCATGAGGCTTAGGGTTATATTGATGACGGTGTCAAGCATGTGCCAGGAGGCAATCTTTGTATGTTGATCACAGAGTCTGAGGCAGTGCTATTCTACTGCAGTACTACAACATAAACCAGGTGCTATGATTCTGCTGCTTAATCATTTCCCAATGAGTTTCATCTGAGAAGGGTACTGTGGGATGAGGTCTCGCCTCCCCTTTGCAATCGCCACTTCCAGAAGATGTCCGAGCCTGAGCACTGGAGTGCTGCTCGGTTCTGATAGGATTCTGGGATGGTCCTAGACTTCTAAAGCTAGAAGCTTTAACAATTTTATTACGGGCGCTTCCACCCGAAGCCACTGTCAAGAGCAGTAGCCACGAAACACTAGCCCAACCCCTGAACCGAAACACTGGGTCTCGGATTCCCTGGGGCTTCTTATGGGGGTTTTCTGTGTGTAAGGGTTGAGAGACAATCCTGGCATCAAGGTGCTGCTTCAGAACCAAACATACAAGTCACGGATTCAGTGTGTCGGAGGGTGGGCTCCACAGGGCTCCAGCAAATCACAACAAGATGTAAACCTTTAATAAACCAAATCCTTGGGCATCAGTGACGAGTTTGGGTGGTTCAATCCAAACCCTAAACCCTAAACCCTTTGCTTCGAAATAGTACAGGGCAGGTTTGCTGCAGTGCAGTTTCAGTTGAAGGGTCAAAGGGGGGTCCCATGCTTTGCAGCCACAGTGGCGGCCCAAGTGTGTTTCTGGTGCATATGGTTTCTCCTGCATTTAGAACATCCAAATGTTTCAGATCAGCTCATCTCAGAACATTAAAGAAGCTGTTTCTCAATCGAGTGTCAAGGATTGCTGCATTTATTTTGTTACCTTGGGTTGCCAGTTGAAGATCGTTAGGTTATAGCTACCTAACTACCATCTTGTATATAAAGCCATTCAAGAACTCGTCATCAAAGCATCTCCCGTGGCACACCAGTCCAGACCAGATGTCTGACTACTGAAACTTCAAACCCAATTCGAGGAATATGTCGACCTGTGACGAATCAAACGTCAGTCCTAATTGGAGGAAGCCTTCCAGAAGCCCTTTGCAGCCATGGGACACGCTGGCAAAGGCAAGAAGGGCAAGAGCAAAGACAAGGGCAAGAGCAAGGGCGACAAGGGCAACAAGGGCCACTCCAGCGACAAGGGCAAAGGCAAGAGCGACTCCAGCGACAAGGGCAAAGGCAAGAGCGACTCCAGCGACAAGGGCAAAGGCAAGAGCGACTTCAGCGACAAGGGCCAAGGCAAGAAAGGCGAGTGGGACTACAGCGGCAGCCGTGCCGGCCAGGGGCCACATGCTCCAGAGAAGCGCAAGTTCCGGGGCAGTCGTGTCCCGTTTCAACTTGTTCATGTTTTTAAACTTAGCCTTTCAGGTTTTGCAGTAGGTAGGGAGCGGCCTTCTTTTCTAGAGTTCCCGGTTTACATTTATGGGGTTTATGGTTTAGGGGTTTAGGATCTGGTCTATAAACCCTAAACCTTGAAACCCCAAACCCTAAACAACACTCAAACTCAGGCAACACCCCGTCGAAATGGCGGAGGGTGGGGCGACATCAAGGCGAGGCGGAGGCGGATGAGAAGGTGGATAACTTGCTGGTGTTGACGAAGCAGATGCGAGCTCGCATCAACCAGCTCGCGGAGGACTTGATGGTTGCCCTCTCTCAAGGTCTCCTCGGGCGACAGGAGTGCGACACCTTGCGGAAGCAGCTCGCAGATGCAGAAGAGTGCTTGCAGGAGACGACTGCAGCCATGCAGAAGCGCGAGAAGGAGCTGCAGGGCAAGGTGGCTCAGGTGGAGGGAGATGCCCAGAGGATGGCCATGGAGATGAAGGGCAAGGTCGCTCAGGTGGAGGGAGAGGCCCAGAGGATGGTCATGGAGATGCAGGCTGGGCTGGACCAGCGGACGCACATCTGGAGTGCTCATGCTGCGAATCTGTCCGGGCAGCTGCAGATCGCGACGCAACTTGTTCAGTTTTCGGGAGGACTTTAATTATTGGTTTGACCTCATAAAGCAGCCCTACAGAATAACAGTACACTACACAAACTCAGGACAGACCTGGACACTGTGGAGACAAAGCTGAAGACGGTCATGGCATCCCGCGACAAGGACGTGCTTGAGGCTCAGGCCGAGACTCTGGAGCACAAGGGCAGGGAGATGGCCTTGGAGGCCACAAACCCTGGAACCTTAAACCCCGCAAAGCCCAAACCATATGCCTCAATTGTCCCTCTGTGTGTGCCGAAACTCGAAGCCCTGTATGTGAACCCCTGAGTTGGAGCTGGAGCGGGCCCAGAAGAAGGTCAAGGGTCTGGAGAGGGAGAACCGGGCCTTGGCCAAGGCCCGTGCTGGATCGGGAGCGGCAGGCAGCTCTCAGGACATCTGCCAGGGATTGTTCAGGGGTTCAGGGTTGGTTGAATAAAGCTTTAGTAAGGGATTCAGGGCTGAAGGGTTTACAGTGTTAGGAGTTGAAGCCACTGTCATTCGGCCGAGGATCACAGGAGAGGCCAGCAGTGACGTTGCCTGCTGCTCAACTTTACAGTTTTTGCTAAGGGCTTAGGGTACATGTCCATTTTGGCACTGTAAATCCACACTTCAGGGTGCACGTAAGGTTTAAGAGACAAGCCCATTTTTGTGGATTAAATTTGGCGCGAAATAAATCTAGGGTCAAATCTAGGGTCCTTACTTGATGCTTTCTTTGCTACAACACCTCAGGATGATGAGGAGCCCGCTTGATGGCTGCTTCTGCTCCTGAGGGCTGCTGGGCTGCTGCTGTTGGTTCGTCAATCTGAGGGCCCATATGACTTGCCCAGCTTTAGGGACCCAGGCCTCGCCACTGGTGCTTTTCAGCAAGACTTCAAGAACTAAGGGTCACATACAACTTGAAGCATCGGGACACCAGAGGCATGCTAGGGCCTTGTAGTTTACCTGCCACCTGATAGGTAGGGCCTTGTACATTACCTGCGAAGCCAGCCCAGTGCACAAGCTTTTGTGAGTAGATGCTGTAGAGTTACATAAGATGGCCACACTGATAGAAGTTTGGTTCCGCAGCAAAACGGCAGAGCCGGGGCAAGGGGCTTCCACTTGCAAGAGGTGTTCCTGAGCCCGAAGAAGGCTGTACCCCTAAACCCTAGGCCCTAAGACCTTTTACTTTAATAAGTATTAATATCATGCTTCTGGGTTCCTAATATTAGATACAATAATATAGACCACGACCCAATTCTAATTTGGATGTACATCGTAACATGAATCGACCGGGACAACGATGCTAAGAATTGCTTCCCCTTGCTGTGTGAAGGAACACAAAATCAACAGTCAAGGGGCCAATGATGCCTTTAGCGACTGTGGCGGTCTGTACACTGCGTTTCACCTCCAGTCCACATCCTGTGGCAAAAGGCAGGAATGCACTTCAGCAGCTGACCCCAGTAAGCCAAAAACCCTCAGATTCCCTGTAAACCCAGACGGACTTCACTCATTTGTACCCCAGACAACCCATCCAAGAAGCCCACCTTCTTGTCCTTGCCCGTTGCATCACTCTGGCCTACACTCAGGCCGGACGCTTCGTCGCAACACTGCAGAGTTTGCTGCCAGGCACTGTTTCAAGGGAGGCTGACAGCTGGTTTCCACTGGTTTCAATCTTCTGCTGCAGTGCAGATAGTCGAAGTTAAGGTGAAACTGTGCAGTTGCAGCCCTCAGAGACTTTTGTCACCAAGTGCTTTGAACTTCTGCAGCCCTTCCCGTCTCTTCTTGTGCCGCCAGGCATTTCGAGATTGCTTTGGCTTCTCCTTGGCAGCTGCCTCGGTGTCCTGCTTTGGTGCTGCTGTTGGGTTCCGCTTCTCCTTGGGAGCTGGCTCGGTGTCCTGCTCGGGTGCTGATGTTGGGTTCGGCTTCTCCTTGGGAGCTGCCTCAGTGTCCTGCTCGGGTGCTCTTGTTGGGGTCGGAGTAGGTAAAAGCGGGATGGCATTGTGCTCCACTGCAGCCACCAAGTCCCTTTCTTGGCTGTGAACATAGTGCTTCTGAAAGGTCTTCACATCAGTTCGAGCTTGTAAAGCCATGATGGCGGGTTCTGACGGTCCAGGGGCACCAGTGTCTGTTTTACACAGCAGCAGTGCTGCCGCAGTGTGTCTAGTGGCACCATGCACTGTAATGTGGCTACCTCGAAAGGCCAGCTCAGGGTTGAAGCACCTTTTCTTGGTCAGCTGGAACATGATTTTCCTTGATCGGTCTATAGCAGTCCAAACAGATTGCCGACTTAACCAGGGGCATTTCGATGAAGATCTGGGTGACGGGAACCACAGAGCATCCTCCTCCAATCCCTTTGGCTGGAACTTCCCAGGTGCTGTAGTATGCACATTAGCAAACAACTCTGGATGCGAGGCACTGTAGCTCTCCAAGATCGACCAACGCTCAGTTGACAGTCCAGCACTCAGGAACGTAGTTATGGTGTCCTGTGCAGTTCGTGAAAGTCTGGATACAGCAACTCCGCCCCTCAGCTTTCCCATGCCTGGATGCATCTTGTCACAGCTTCTTGCTTGGAACAGAACATGAGCTGTGTCACATTGCGGCCCTCCAAACAAGAAGAAGTCCTTCCCCCGAATGCGCAAGACCTCAGAGATGCGTCTCTGACTTATCATGCAGAGCCAAACCACTGCCAAGTAGACAGGACCACAGAAGAGCAGCATCACTGCCCAAAACAGCGGCAGATCTTCCTTTTGCAGAAAAATATTTTGCGAGTCTGCCACTGTCTGTCGGCGACCCTTGTTCCATGGAGCCTTCCTTTTTGCAGCTGCAACTTTTTTCTTGCATCTTTTCTGGCTGGTCTGTTTACCAACCTTCCCCGTGAGGACACCTAGGCACGGAAATAGACTCTGGCTAACTGGTTGCTGGCTGCAAGAGGCAGTAACCCTAAACCCCTAGACCCTGAACCCTAAACCCGAAACTTAAAGCCTGAGTTCTGTAAGTGCAGCTGAAGGATTCTTGTTCATCTTTTCTGTGCTATCTTCCTTGATGTTCAGACCTGAGCTTTGGCAGTGTGCTGGTCCTCACAAGTACTTCACATGTCTCTGCACTATCTGGTGATTCTGCAAGAAAGAGTTACAGAGTGGAGCCTGCTGAGATGGCATTGGAGCGTCGCTGTCTTCGCCAGGAACGCAGAGTCGGGCATAGACCTGTTTGGAAACTAGGTTTTATGGGACCCAATCAATGGATTACATTGAGGGCGCTGAGAAAGCAGCCTTTCAACTGTCGGCGCTGAGAAAGCAGCCGCAAACCTGTTGCATGGATCTGTTGCATAGTACCTAACTCTGAGCCAATTGAGGTCAGAACCACAGTCAACCACAGTCTGAGGTCAGGGCCTCAGCACAGGAGGCAGATGGAGGGAGTGACAGGAGGAGAGAGACTGAATGGAAACATACAGGGCAGAGAGATACAGAGCAGAGGGTGCTGCACACAGACAGTAAAGAAAAGGGAGAGGGAGAGAGGGAGACACAGAGAGACGAGACAGTGATAGAGATGTACAGAAAAAATAAAGAGAGAGAGAGAGAGAGAGAGAGTGGGAGAGACAGGGAAAGTAAATAGAGCTTGAGGAAGAGGGCAAGGAGGAAGAAGGTTTTGTTTGTCCCAGGGCTTTCGGGGCTTCGGATCGGATGCAGGAGGTCTTGGGATAGGCTGAGGAAGTGTGGCTGCAGAGATATGTGGGGTCGCACAGGGTCTTCAACGAGGTGACAGGAGGGATGCCCAGACTTGTTCCGGAAGGGTCCAACAACCCAAGGTCCCGACAAACTGGACCGATTCCGACGAAGATTCAGAGATCCACTACTGCGGCATGTTTGCCATGATCTGTCTCGAATGCAAATGCAACAGTGCCAGCACGCGCGATGTCATGACAGCACATGCATGAGGCAAGATGCTGACTGACACTGATGGTGATGATGATGATGCTGAAGATGATGACAAGATGAATTCATGGATACATATCATGACGGTCAATGATGGTAACACTGCTGGGTTCATGTCACTGGTATTGTGCACACATACATGAACCACGAGAGGCATCATACACATCTGCTGCCCATGTCGAAATGAAGCACTCTGGCGCTAGGCGGCCCTTGCGTTAGGAAAGGTGCTCTTGCGATGCCGAAGGCGAAGAATGCATGCATTATGGTATGTTATGACAACTGAGCATGATAATGGTTTCGCGCATTGAGGCTTCATACAGGGGTTTCCCCACCTACCTTTGGCACCTACCTTTGGACCTACCTTTGGGCGATATCTGAGTTTTGTTGCCAGCCAGCCCCCTCTATCTATTCATGAACCCTTATTCTTCCAGCAAGTCCTTTTAGACGTTGATATCAAAGGTGCTACATTGTGGGATCAATAGTAATGCGTCTTAATGCCACACAGGCCTCACTGAATGAGTAATGCCCTTACAGGAGCTCTCCAGGGGATCATTTTGAAAGACTGAGAAACTAAGTGAGGGAGAGACATACAGGATGTGGCGCTGAACAAGCAGCCAAAAAACGGCGCTGAACAAGCAGCCGAAGTCTGGGCAAGAGAGAAGAAGGGACAGCAGCAAGCAGAGAGGAGAGAGGAGAGGAAAGAGCTCTGAGATGAGAAGAGACTGGAAAGACCCGAAGAGGTAAACAGAAAAAAGAAACACAACAGAAAGTGCAGCCAGCAAACCTGGAGGGGCCTCATAGCCAGCAAACTGCAAGGGGCAAGCTCAGGCTCACCACAAACTTACAGGGGCTAACGGCCAGCAAACTCCAGGGGGCTGCAAACCAGACACAGACAAAGAGAGAGAGAGAGAAAAACAAATATGTTCTGAGAGAACAGAGCCAAGCAAAGATATAAGAAAGTAAAGAGGAGAGAAAGAGACAGAGACAGAATGAGAGGGAAAGAGAGAGCAAGAGACAGCAAGATTAAGAGCGAGAAACAGACAGAGAAAAAGACAGAGAGAGAGAGAGAGAGATGAGAAAAGATACCAGGAATAAGACCGCATGTAGAGGCCACAATCCACACAATCCTCTGGGAGAGCCAGACCTTTTGATTTGACAGGCTGTACATCTCTGATAAGTGGACGTCTAATGGAAACGAATGAAAATTTGCTTCCTAGACGCACTATTGGCAGCAGTACTCATACCAGTACGAGTGTTAGGATTACTGCTTCTACTGCTACTGCGACTACGACTACTACTGCTACTACTACTACTACTGCTACTACTACTACTACTATTACTACTACTATTACAAGTACTACTACTACTACTACTACTACTACTACTACTACTACTACTACTACTACTTCTACTACTTCTACTACTTCTACTACTACTACTACTACTACTAGTACTACTAGTACTACTACTTCTTCTATTACTACTACTACTACTGCTACTACTATTGCTTCTACTACTACTATTG